TAATTATTTATTTATCATAATTTTATCATATAGACAAAACCATTTTACTCACTCTTGCCTACAAGCAGAATTTTTCATAACCATTTTCGATTATCACCCGTCGAAGTGCAGTTGAAAAGCACTGAAACCAAGCTGCATCTTTGTAGTGGGTAAAATGTTTTTGTCTATATGATAGAATTATAATATATATATATATATATATATATATATATATATATATATATATATATATATTTACTAATATATATATATATATATATATATATATATATATATATATATATATATATATATATATATATATATTTGGTTGATAGATGTGAGTTAAGTACCGCGCATATAATATATAAATAATTATACATTAATATATTTGTTTATATTTATATACACTTTTCACATATATATATATATATATATATATATATATATATATATATATATATATATATATATATATATATGCTCTCTGTACCAGCGCGCCCATGACGCAACCGGATGTGTCACAAGGTCATAGTTTAAAGTGGGTTTAACAGCATTAACCTGGAAAAAATCCCAAGTTGCGTGTGTCTGTTTTCGTGTGTACCATAACTGGAACAAATGTATGAGAGTTACTCCCGCACAGCAAAGACGTTGGCAGATACATTGCATCCTCAGTCAGTGTGTGGCGGACTGCGATTCAGTTCTTTTATAATATAGATTTGGGTATTTGGTGGCCGAACTGGTTAAGACGTTGTCCTTATAAGTCGAGCTTTCGAAATATGGAAAACAAGTTAAGCCCCATGAGCAAGCTATCACTTTAATTCTGGCTTCACGTTAATTAACTTAGAGGAGTCAGTTTTGAACATTGGGATAAAAAATGAAACAAAAACAAAAAGAAACATAAGAAAAAAATCAACAAGAAAAAAAGTTGAAATTTCTGGGACACTTAATGAGGGAGGAAGGCTCGGAAAATCTGATACTCACAGGACGAGTAGAGGGAAAGAGGGAGAGGGGAAAGCAACGCGTGACATACCTGTGTCTCCGGGGTTGTGAGTTCAATACCAGACCACAGCAGTGGTGAACCAGACGTTGGAGAGTGGAGTTAAAGGAAAATAACTGAGATATCCGGAAGAGGCATGCCTGGTGCAACTAGAACAATCTACACCGGTGGATGAAATAAAGAGTTCGGTTCGAAATTCCAATCACCTGAAGAAGGACGGAACGTACAATGGCCGAAACGTTGTGAATATGGCAATGAAGATGAGGATAACATGTCGAATAATCTAAATAATGCAAGTAGTCATAATACCTCATCTCAGAGATATAGAGAGATATATAGAGAGACATTGACATAAAGGCCGGAGCTTACAACAGCCGAAACGTTGTGAATATGGCAATGAAGATGAGGATAACAGTCCGAATAACGTAAATAATGCAAGTAATCATACCTCAATCCCAGAGATATAGGCAGATATATAGAGCGAGATAGACATAAAGGCCGGAGCGTAGAACGGCCGAAACGTTGTGAATAAGGCAATGAAGATGAGGATTATAGTCCGAATAATGTAAATAATGCAAGTAATCATAATACATCATTTCAGAGATATAGAGGCCGAAGCGTTGTGAATATCACAATGAAGATGAGGATAACAGTCCTAATAATGTAAATAATACATGTAATCATAATACCTCATCTCAGAGATATAGACAGATATATAGAGAGACATAGACATAAAGGCCGGAGCTTACAACGGCCGAAACGTTATGAATATGGGAATGAAGATGAGGATTACAGTTCGAATAATGTAAATAATGCAAGTAATCATAATACCTCATCTCAGAGATATAGACAGATATAGAGAGAGACATAGACATAAAGGCCGGAGCATACAACGGCCGAAACGGTGTGAATATGGCAATGAAGATGAGGATAACAGTCCGAATAATGTAAATAATGCAAGTAATCATAATACCTCATTTCAGAGATATAGACAGATATATAGAGAGACATAGACATAAAGGCCGGAGCGTATGACGGCCAAAACGTTGCGGATATGGTAATGAAGATGAGGATAACAGTCCGAATAATGTAAATAATACAAGACCCTACTTATGTAGGTACATACATGTGAGATGGGATCTGAAAGTTTTGAAGTAATTACTCAGTATGCTCAGCTTATAAATTACTCAGCTTTTCACATGTTTCTCCGGAATTTTCTGATATACTTTGAAATCACTCGACCATGTCTAGATAAAAATAATATTCTGCAAGATTTTGCTTCCTTTGAGGAAACCAGTCCGCGAGTTTTTTTTCTCTCTTGTTTTTGGCATTTTTGACACGTTTTTCACTTTTTCTTCTTCGACTTTTCTTCCCATTCTATTATTTTCTTCTTCTTCTTCTTCTTCTTCTTCTTCTTCTTCTTCTTCTTCTACTTCTTCTTCGTTGTCGTCGTCGTCGTCTCTCTTCCCTTTTATTCCCTTTTTCTTTCCTTCTTTCCTCTTCTTTTATCTTCCCTTTTAATCTCTTTTTATTCTGTCCTTAATCTCTCTCTTACATCTTTTCGTTCTTTTTATTTCTTTGTTTGCCTCATCATCTCTCTCTTCCCTTTTCGTCTTTTATTCTCTTTTCTTCTTCTTTATCAGTTTCTCTTCATTTTCTTATTTTTTTCTTCTCTTTTCTTCTTCCTCATCTTCTCTCTTTCCTTTTCATCTCTTTTTTCTTCTTTTCTTCTTCCTCATCTTCTCTCTTTCCTTTATCGTCTTTTCTTTTCATTCTTTTCTTCTCCCCCATCTTCCTTTTTCATTTTTTTTTCTTCCTCACCGTCTTCTTTTTTCTTCTCTTTTTTTTTAATTCCTTTTTCTTTCTTCCTCATTTTCTATTTCCTTCTTCGTCGTTTGCCTTTTTCTTCTCATTTTCACTCTCATTTACTCTACTCTTTGTTCTTTCCCCTTTTCTTCTCTTTTTCATCGTCTTTTATTATATTCGTTTTCTCTTCACTTCTTTTTATCTTTTCTCTCTTCCTCACTTTTATTTCTTTCTTCGTCTTTCTTCTTTTTTTATCTCCTCACACCCACTGTTATATCCTTTCTTCTTCATTTTTTTTCTTTCTTTGTCCTTTTTATCTTTTTATTTTTCGTCGTCTTCGTTTTGTTTTTACTTCTTTTTCTTTCATGAAAATCTTTTCCTTATTCTCTTTCCTTTCCCTATGTCTTTTTTTTTTTTTTTACGTCTGCCTACCTCTGTCTTCCCTGGTCTTTTCCCCTCCCCTCGTCTCGCTCATACATACGCCAGTCGACACCTCCGCACTCGTTGCAACTTTAACCCTCACAGATTCCTCCTGCCCTTCCTCTCCCCCAGCATTTTTTTCTTTCATCCTCTCCATCTTCATCCTCCCGTCTCATCATCTCTCGACTCCTGCTGCTGTTTCTCCCTCTCTCTTCCACTAAACTCGAACACTACTCTTGCTTTATTTATTTGCTCCCGACAAAACATCTGATACACAATCGAGATCTCTCTCTCGCTCTCTCTATTTTCTAATATTTTTTAAATACTTGAAAAAGAAAGAAAAAAACAGAAAGAGAGAAGGAAAATAAGCAACTCACTGAAAATATGTTTTAGTAGACACTAAGACTCCGGCAGTGGCGAGGGAGACTTGTCTGTCGATTTAACCCAGCGTAAAATTAAGGAAAACTTAGTTACCGTTTTGCTATCAACATTCTCATCTTCACTACTTCGACATTTACCGAAGAATTAAAAGCAGACACAAAAGAAAAGTCAGAAAAAAAACCCCAAAAAACGAACTATTACCGTAAACTGTTCAGGATATTTGCTTAAAAGGAAGAAAGGAACTATATCTATGTAAGTATGCTTAACTTTTTAGTGGGGTTCAAAAATGTTGCTGCTACTATATCTGCCAGACATAAAAAGATTACCTAAAGTTTTGCAGGCATAACCCCGATCCCAAAGTTTAACACTAGCAGTAATTTTACCGGCTGAAATGAAAAGTTTTATAAAATAAGAAGTTTTATTTTCAGGTATAAGTTGTGGATATTATTATTTGATTATAATTTCGTTTTCTTAAAACGAAACTATTTTGGTTGAGGTTATTTTATATGGTAATGATTTTATTTTAAAATATTCTGTTACGAGTTCATTAAAAAGAATAGAAATCCTAATCAGAATGATGATTAATCTCAAATAATACGGATGTCAAAAAGGGTAACAAATGTATAAGTTTTTTTTCATTATCTCAATGGCAGACGATATATTTAACTTAGGCGTCAATACATTTTTAAAGACACGAAATCTTTTCTTTTCAAATAAAGTATTTTCTTCCGACAAATTCTTTTTGGCATTTCTTCGCTTTCATTCATTTTAGTCAATAATTTGCACGGTCCATATTGCATAATAGTTTATTTTTCGAAGGATTATTTATTTGCTAATATATTTATATTTATTTGTTTGTTTATTTATATTTTTATTTATTTATATTCACATTTTTATTTATTTATATTTTTATATGTATTTATATTTTTATTTTATATATTTATTTATATTTTTACTTTTTATATTTTTATTTATTTACATTTTTATTTATTTATATTTTATTTACCGTATATACTCGCGTATCATGCGACTTTTGAAGATCTAATTTTGAAGCTAATTTTAAGGAGGTCGCATTATACACGAGATATAAAATTAGCGTATGTACTGCTGGTCATGGCTACGCTGTTGACGAAACTATATATCTATTTACTGTAGTCAAAATGTACAGCTGTATATAAAACAAACATCGCATGTTACATGAATATATACGGTATATTTTTATTCATATTTTTATTTATATTTTTATTTATTTATATTTTCATTAATATTTTTATTTATATATTTATTTTATTTACATTTTTATTTATATTTTTTATATTTTTATTTATTTATATTTTTATTAATTTATATATTTTTTATTTATTGATTGATTGTTGATTATTTTATTTTTGGTAAAAATCAAGGACATTTTCAGTATGCAATATTTCAAGGCATTATCTTTGTATAAATCTCCAAGAATCGTGAAAAGATTTTTGAATATTAATCTCTGGAATCTCTGGTTTTAATATACATCTATAATGCATGTGCAGAAGTTTCCAGAATTCTTCATTTAAAAACAAAAACAAAAAACCATTCTGTATTTATAAGAACGTTCCAATTTATAAAATAAATTTCCCACTAATTGTAGTGAAAATTAAAACTGCGATTTATTTGCAGTTTTACAATAAAAAATAGGATTGTATAAGTTGACTTACTGCACGTGAATATATCTTTTCTTCAAAAACATTCCCATTGTTCAAAATGTGCGTAGAAATGAAAATAATCTTGATAAAGAGAAAGTTCATGCATCTGAGTAAATGTCATTTCTCGCAGTTTATAGGAGGAAAAGAAATAAAAGTGTGTAGTTTTCGGTGAGTTTTTTTTTTCCCCTTTAGCCACTTTAGGGAAAGGGAGTCGCTGGGCATAGATCTTTTGAAAAAAAAAACTGACATTCCTGAATTGACTGACTACAACCTGTAGCAAAGTCTCGTATTTTATCGGCTTTTCTTTATCTAGTGATGAATCACAGCTGTCAGAGGAACGCCTAGACATGCAGTTAAAGTTACCACGTTTCAAGAATTGTAGATACTTCGATCTTCACTGGGTGCTCCACACCTTCTTCTTCTTCTTCTTCTTCTTCTTCTTCTTCTTCTTTTCTTCTTTATGTGACGTGTCCCTTCACCGCGTAGGCGATCATAGCCCCCCACATCTTCCTGTTTTTTGTAGCTCTTAATTTTTCTTTTTTTTATTTCTCCCAAACCCTGCTCTACCATCAAGCTCATCAAGTATGTTTCCCGTTGCTTTCCTCTGTCTTTCTGTCCCTTTATCTGTCCTGTGAGTATCAGATTTTCCAAGCCCTCCTTCCTCATTACGTGCCCCAGAAATTTCAACTGCCTCTTCCTGATGTTATGTATAAGTTTCTTTTTTTGTTTCCATTTTCTCCAAAACTTCGTCGGTGTTCACATGTTCGGTCCATGGTATCCTCAGCATCCTTCTGTAGAACCACATTTCGGTCTCTTCTTCATCTTTGATGAGATTGTACAGCATTCACTGGTATATGGGAGGACAGATATCATGTAACAGTTCAATATTCTTTGTTTTTAACGAATTTTTCCTGTCTCTTAATACTCTGCTTAGCTTTTGGAATGCATCTTTGGCCATGCCAATACGTGTTCGGATCTGAGTGTCGCACTTTCCGTCCTCTGTTAGAACACTTCCCAGATATTTAATTCGGCATTTAGGAGGAGAAAAAATGAAAGGTTTTTCTCTCTAATCAGACAACAGCGATTAGATCTTTTTTCATTATTATTTTCATATGTTGTGATATGGTTTTACTACGCCCGCCTATTTTTTAGATTTATTTTAGATTCTTATTTTTATTTGTGACGGGAAGCTTTACCTTGTACAAGGCCCGGGAGCCACTCTGGCAGAACCAGGGAATGTAGTTCGTCCGAGCATTTTCCGTGATAGCGAGAGGCTTGCCATATCCCACTCAGTTCGGGGGTTGGAAAATAATTCTTCTCCAATAAGAACTTGGAGACACTTTTTGACTCTATTGACAAGGCCCGGGAGCCACTCGAGGTAGAGGCTTACTTTAGGAGGCAGATTGTACGGATAGGAGGGTAAGGTAACGGTTACCCCTAGACTTGAACAGGTTAAGATTGTAGTGTTTGAGGAAACATCATCTTGGGAGTGTGGAAGAAGCTGTTTGAGTGGAACTTTTTGCCGATGAAATACGGAGTTAATGTGAATAGTTTAATACAATATGTGGCATGTCCGATCCCAGCCGTGAAGGGTTAGACCTGGCGGTAGTCCGAGTATTTACCGTGATAGAGTAGCGAGAGGCTTGCCATATCCCACTTGTGAGAGAGAGTTCGGGGAGGGGGAATAATTCTTCTCCAATAAGGACTTGGAGACACTTTTTGATTCTATTGAGATTGGAAATTGAAGAGTAGGAATCTCCCGCCAAAATATGATAGTACTCCATTTTCGGCCTGATTTGTCACTTATAAAGGTAGACGATTGCATGTCTATCGTTTTGATAAATAAATGTTGATCGCTCTTTTTTGGAGGGCGTGGTTTATTGACATACCGATAGAAATCTTCACACGCTTTATCTTGGGTGCTATAATCATGACATTTTGGCCGTTGGTCTCTCCGATATCTGTGATCGTATTCGGTAAACGTTTTGCAATTTGGAATCGAACCGTTTATACGATCCACGGGATGGATTAGTAAAAAATCCCGAATTGTTCCCTGATTAAGGAATATTTCATGTCAAATAATATTCGCCAGTCTTATCAGTTGAGTCTGTTCTCCACCTGTAATACAACCATGACTTTTCAGCAGTACTCAGCCTGAGGGTCAAGAGACCCTCGGGGTAGAGGCTTACAGAGCTTATGGGAGATTATGTGAAAAAAAAAATGAACAGGTTA